TCTTGCTGCAGTGTAAGGTAATTTACACCTATTAAGTACCAGGAATTGTCAATGTTTTTGCAATGTATTACACAGAAAGAAGGGCAGATTTCTGGATATTGACTGTAAGCAGCATAATAACCCTTGAACTGTAGTTCTGCATTTCCTAGGAATTACCAGCATCTGACCCCTACTCACCCAGAAAAGGAGCTGGCACAGTGCTTGATTTTCATGGTCAGAAATTTTAAAATAAATAAGTTATCTCACTGTCCCAGCTGGAGGAGCACAGAAATCAGCTGCAGGCTCTCCCTGTGCAGAACACGGGAAACAGCTGCCCCCAGAGCCCATCTCTGCATCCTCACAAGACCAGAAGAGACTGAGGAGCTGCAGGATAGGGGCCTGAGGAAAATGAGGGCACACTTCTGGGATGTGCATCCCTGCACCCTCCTCTCAAACCACACAGCAAGATCAGAGTGGTCCCAGTCAGTGCAGAATCAGAGAATTGTGGAATGATTAAGGTAGAAAAAGCCCTCTAAGATCATCAAGTCCAACCATCAACCCAGCACCAACCACATTCACCACCAAGACACGTCCCCAAGTGCCCCTTCCACATATTTTTTGAACACTTCCAGGGATGGTGACCCCATCACTGCCCTGGGCAGCCCGTTTCAGTGCTTTACAGCCCTTTCCATGATTTTTTTCCCCCTAATATCTAATCTGGACATTCTCTGGTGCATTTTGAGGCTGTTTCCTCTCATCCTGAACAAGAGGCCCCTGCTCCCCAGGAGCACTCACAGAACAAGTGACATCTTTCCAAACAGCAGTGCTTTTCTGAGCACCAGATTTGGAAGAGTTTCAGGTGTTTTAATTTTGAGAAGTTAAGGAATAGTTTCCCTGTGTAAACACTAGCACAGAACAGTTTGGGATGTAACAGCAAAAAGCCCCTTTGCTTAAGGTCAAAAAAAGTGAAAATCCCACTTCTACCCATTCCCTTTCCTGGACACCTCACAGTGGTTATAACACTGACAGTCCCAAATAAACCACTGGGTTTGAACCCTGCCCAGTGCTGCTTCCAGTCACTGTCCCCAGCAACAGCTGCAGTGCTGGGCAGTGTCACCCAGTTCTGCTCCACAGGAGAAGGAGTTTCCTTGCAGGAATGGCCAAACACACACACACACGGAGATTTCTTGGTTTAACTTCTTGGTATGTTTGAGATAACATTTTAACTGATCTGGCACTGATCAGCCCAGCTGACTCTAGAAGGGCCTAACTACAAGACCCCCAAAACACCAGTGAGAAAACAGCACTGAGAGCAGGGCAGCAGAACCATCCTACACCCAAGTTCTCTGTCAAACTGGGACATTTCAGATCACCAAAACACAGGTGTCTGGTGTTATTTGAGATGTCTTGGTGCTCCAGCTGCCCTCTGAGACGGAAGTGTCTTGGGCAGGGCCCTTGTCATGCTGGCAACCTCCTGCAAGTGTCTCAGACACAGTCTGACACCTAAATCCTGCCAGAGGTGACACCTGCCACCAGAGTCACTCCCCTATTGTGCTTCTCATTGATATCACAGTTCCATGTGTGTTTACTTTTTGAAAGCCTGGCATGGAAAAACTCCTTCATGGAGAAGCTCCTTCTATGGAGAAACTCCTTCCGTGTTTTTTAGTGATTTTTGTCCTACAGAGTGTCCAGGGGAACACCTGCACTCCACAACCCCTCTTGCTGCTGGCCTGCAGTCTCTGGCAGGGCCACCCTGAACACATCTGAGCAGAGCCACAGACCAGCTGTGCTGGGCTTGCTCTGCCCAACTCAACCTTCTTTGTGCAGCTGCTGAGGCCAGGACAAACACAAAGCATGCCAAAACTGCACCACAAGGGCACACAGAAAGCAGACAGGAGCCTCATGCCCTGCCTCTTTTTTCTTGCTTGTCTACCTCAATATCCTCCCCACGTTCCCCTTCTTGTGAGGACAGGCACGCCCTGGGTTCCAGCAGCCCAGGATCCCTTAGGAAGGGAATGAAGAGCAAGCATCTGGCACTGGGCACAGAGTCTCCTCCCCTCCCTCTGCCCTCCAGGCATCTCCTCTTGGAGAAGGTGCTGCAAGGGGCAGCTCTCCTGGCTGACCAGGCCTGCAGCAGCCAGTGGGGATGAGGGCAGCCTTCTTAGGGTATGAAGAAGTTTGGATGCTTCTTTGGATCCCTGCCTGGACACACTGGCTCAGCCACTGAGTGCTGGCAGGCAGAGGGGGCAAAACCAGTTTGCCACAGGGCTGGAAACAGGTTTTATTGGCCCCACAATTAACTCCTGAGTTTCTGCTGTTTATAGAAGCAGTCAGGATCACACCTGGGATTCATTCCACAAAGCAGGAACAGGAAAAATCTGTACTTGTACTGCCCAGGGTGAACAAAAGAAAATCCCAGTCCCAAAATGTCACTGGCCTGCAATGGCAAGCTCCAAGCAAGGACAGTCCCACCTTCACCAGAGTTCTAGTATCTCTATAAATCCTGATTTCTTTACCTATATAATCACTAGAGCTAGTCATATCAATATAATTTATGTCTTTTTCTATGGTTGCAGCAAAGAATTTGAAAAAACTGAAATTGAAAAAAATCCCATGAAGACTTCCAACCTCTTTGAACTTCAAATTAAAAAAAGCATCCAAAAATGATCCAATAATTCTGACTGAGAGTCTGTCATTGTGGAGTCTTTTGGGAGCTTTTTCTATTCCTCCAGGTGACCAGAGGTCACATTGCATCTCATCCTCTGCCTCCAGTCCTTAATAGTGCCTGACCAGGCAAAGCTTGGGAGATCCAAACACTATATGAGCCTCAGGTGAACACAGGGATGGGGCACACAACACAAATGTGAGGGCTCCTCAGCTCCGTAAGGAGCCTAAGGAATTATTTTGGTAGAACATGCCAGGTCACAGGTGAAGCTCTAACCTTTTGTGAAGCTGTGGCTGCCCCTGGGTCCCTGGAAGAGTCCAAGGCCAGGCTGGATGGGGCTTGGAGCAGCCTGGGACAGTGGGAGGTGTCCCTGCCATGGCAGGGGTGGCACTGGATGGGCTTTTAGGTTCCTCCCAACCCAAACCAGTCTGGGATCCTGTGATTCTATGAAGCTCTGAGTGAACTTTGAGCCATTCCCTCCTGTAAAGCCCAACCTTTCAAAACAAATAAAGTCCTGGACAGTGTTAGTTTTTGTACTGAAAACCAAAGCTTGCTCAAAGATCATTCCTTTATTCCCTCCTTTTCCTGCCAGCAGCAGCCACCAGCCTGCACAGGTTATTATTTCAGCTTCCTGCAGATGCACAGGTACAGATTCCCATCACTTTCAACTGATGCCAGAGACAGGGATCTCTGATAGCACCGAGTCAGGCTGATAACAGGCAAGTTTCAGCACCACTCGGCTGATAATTACACAGTTGTGAAAAATACACCAGTTGGCAACAAGCAGGAAATACAGAGTTTGCAATCCTTTGGAAAGCAAGACAACCCTCTGCCCTAGTGCAGCATGCAGCTCTGTGCTCTCAGGGCTTACCAGGTACCACACATGCACTTCCCAGAGATACCCTGAACCTCCTGTCTCCAGAGTGGGAGACTTGGGAGCTTCATCCCGCTCTCCACCATCAACAGAGACCCCTTCCCCACACACACCAAAGCACATCCCCATGAGAGAATCATGGAATCTCCTGAGTGGAAGAGACCCACAAGGATCAGAGTGTCTAGCCCCTGGAGCTGCATGGAAAAGCCCAACAGTTGTCTTGCTTTGCTGGTGTGTCCAGACAGTGCCTGAGCCCTCAGATCATCAGCCTGGCCTGTTACCATGCAGAGCCCACGCTGACCCTTCAGATGGATTTTCAGAAATCCCTAACGGCTGCAGAATTCAGCCGGAGAGGAGTTACAGAACAGGAGCAAACACTCACCATGGGGCTGCAATTTCATAGGGAAATCATGGACACAAAATGACCAATACTGGCTTATCACCATGGAATTCCATGTTCTTTCATTGTCACATTTGTATTTATTGTAGGATAAGGACAGTGAATTTTAAATTAATGTCTCATATAGGTAGAAGTACCAGGAACAAGAAATTATGAAAGTCTGATTTCAACAGGGCTAGTGAACTTTATACTCACTCTTAAAACACAAAATGAAGTCTGTTATGGGATAACTATTTCATTAGGTTGTTAATACTGAATATGCATGTGAATGTGTGTGTGTACAAGTATTTATTTTCACATAAATATAGGCTCTTTCTTGCATGAAACGAGAATAGCTAGTATAGAAGGCCCAGCAAAAGCAACAATTTTAATACATATATAAGAAATTTCTATTAAAACAAAACTAAACAAAACAAATCATATCATGATTGCCTAAACTCTCTTGTTTATACACCAAGAAAAACGAACCCCACTCCCTTCTCCTTGTGCTGTTAAAATAACTTGTGTCCTGTAGCACAAGACAGAGAGGTCACAACATCAGTCACCTGTTGAAAATGGTCAGAACATGCACAGGGAATCTAACATTTATCCCAGTTCCCTCACACACCTTGCTAGCTGCTGAGTACAGCCTCCTTTCCCCCTACCTTGTCATTAATTAATGTAAATACTTGTAGTGTTCACTTACAAGTAAGTGCAGGAAAGTAAAAGAATGTATTTGATAATCTTATCTAAGTCACAGAATTACAGAGCCATGGAATATCCTGAGCTGGAAGGGACCCACAAGGATCATCCAGTGCAGCTCCTGGCCCTGCACAGACATCCCAACAATCCCACCCTGGGCATCCATGAGAGCTTTGTCCAAATGTTCTATTTGGCTCTAGCCAAAAGAAAGCATTTTCAAAGATGTAAAAGGAGTTAAAATACAAGTGTTCTCCATTGCCCTTCCCTGCATATACAATTTGCTTTCAAAGTGTTGAGAAAGTGCAGAACTGTGATAGCAGAACTACAACATCCAGAGCTAGATATACTAAAACATCTTCAAATAACCTCCAAGCAAACAACCCTGTGAAATCCACACTCACCTGAATGTGGTCTGCCCAATTCTCCTCAGTCATGGTTTTCTGAAAAGACAAAATCACCGCTGAGCCATCTTAGGAAAGGGAGGATGTTCCATACAGCAAACTAGAACACCTCATTGTCCCCACTGGCATCACCTGTGACCAAGGAATGCAACATGGACACACAGGACACCTCAGCTCCTCAGTGTCTCCAGCTGGGGCATGGCAGAACACAGCTTGGATGAGGGAACTCTTACACCACAGCACATGAAGCATAAAAATTCCTATGCAGTTTGTGCCCAAACTCATCTCTCCAGCCAGCCATGGGGAGCCATCCTGAGGGCTCCAGCCAAGGCAGGGATCTCAGGGATCATCTGCAAGGCTGAGCCTTCAGAATATAAAAATACAATTTTCCTCAACAGTCAAATAATGAAAAATCCTCTGGAATCATGAGGTCTGGGAAAGGAAACTGATAAGTTAATATTCCCATTCTAATGCAGTTCAGAGCCAAACTTGGGGAGAAACTCAAGAAGGGACCTGCTCTCCACTCTGCCAAGAACTGCATGAGACCCACCATGAGTCTCACCCCAGAGCTGGCAGAGGAAACAGGGAGTGTCAGTGTCACTTTTATGGAAAGATACAAGAGAAAACAGGGAGCAAGAGCCTCAAAGAAAACAGCTTTGAGATATCCAAGCATATCATTTAAATATTAGTGAGATAAAGGAGACATTTAACCAGAGCTCAGACACAGCTGAGAATGGTAAACAGAGAGCACCAAAGAACTCTCAGAAAAAGGGATTGTGTCCAGAAACAGCTGCCAAATGTACCTTAATGGAAATAACTGGCCAGCTTGGATACTTTAAAGCAAGCAAATTCTCCAAAACAAAGGAAGTGGAAGGCCAGAGAGAGCAGAACACCAGATCACGAATCCATTCCCTCTGCTAAACAAATACACCTGGAGAAATGCTCTCTGCTCCCTCTGTGGATGACCAAGCTCCCTACAGTGACATCATCCAACATTAAAGCTCTGAGATGCAGGAGGCTGAAGTGCTCCATCCTCCCCAGCTCCTCTGGCAGTGGGTTTGGCAGGCAGCAAAGACAATCAGAGGCTTCCCTGATGGACTGGGAGGGCTTGGGAGCAAAACTTGGAAAAAACCCTTGATCATAAACGACTAATACACTTTGATTATCTCAATTAAGTTATTAAAAATGTAAATGTAACCAAATTCCCCACACACAACACAGCACGTACCTCAACAAATCTCTTGTAAAAGAGGTAATTCAGGGTTCTCAAGTGCCGCTGATTTATGACATTAGGGCAGAGAGCTGAAAGAAGGAAAAAGACATTTAAGTACAGAGCATTTCCTGGAAGTTTTACTGTCTAGACATTACACTTTTCCTTCCCCAGTGTCAGACTGGGTTTGTGGAAGGCAGGATGCCCTCACCCTTGGAACAATGAGGGACAGACTCACACACTGTCAGCTTATCTCAAGTATAAACTGTTATTTACACTTTCATCCGTGATTAGCAATGCTAATTCTTGGGTCTGATATCTCTGCTTCCACCACCCCTGAGCGATAAGATCCACTCTCTGGTTCAATATGCTCCACAGTCAATGACTTCACACCTTTAATTAGGCAGCATCCTCACATGGGCACCGCCTCAGTCTCTAGAGGCTGCATTCTTTCGGGTTTAATTGGACCTGTGTTGTTAATTCATTCAAGCAGTTGTGAACAGCTCACTCAGGATGTAAACGTGTGGTTGAAGTTTATCCGATAAAACTCAGATCCATGAAAGAGGCTCCACATCCACACAAAGAGGGTGGGGAACACTGCTTTGCTGAGCTAGCAAGACACAGTTGTTGTTATTATTTTTATTGCTGTGACCTTCATTAGATATGGCTCATTACAACTGCATAACCCAAGATCTTCACACAGCACCTTGTTTTGAAATCCAGTGCAAGGAGAGATAAAGGCTGGAGATAAAAGACAAAGTGGCATTAGCACAGGTATCTGTCAGTTCCTGCTGGATGCTGGGCTGCCTGTACAGGGAAAGGCTTCACCAAAGCCTTCCTTGGGCTTTCAGATGGGGCCAAAACCATCTCACCGGGAGCCAGAGAGAGCAGGGCCAGCAGTCACAGTCACAGAGAACAGGAACATTAAATTATCTGTGGCCTCCCTTGAATTAGCACCCACGGGAAGAAACTGATTCCTCATCCCTTTGTGTGCCCCACACAGGGCATGCCCAAGAACTAAACCCCAGGAGAACAAAGAGTGATCTCTGGATACCAGAGCCTGGGTGGATTGATGTGCCACTGGTTACAGCAGCTCCTCAGAGTGCCCTGAAACATCACCTCAGAATGTGAACATTTCCATCTCAAACAGAAATGCTTAAAGCTGTTATTTGTAAGTTAATCTTCCACAGTGTGGCAACAAATCCTTCCCCTCAAAGCATCTGAGGAAATCCCTGCAATTATCACGAAGGATATTGCACCAGTAAATATGGTGGTCTTTCTGGATATTGTCCCAATATCTTGAGGAAAACTCATCAGCTCATGGAAAGGAACACTCTCTGAAGAAAGTAAGATCAACGTAAAAATTAGTAACACCACCTCCTAACTTAAAGTTTTCAAAGCTCTTCAGAAAGAACCATGGCATGACCCCTCCAGGCCACCCAAAAGATCCAGCTTTTTCTTTGAGCTTCTAAAGAAAATATCCAAAGCACAGGCTCTGGTAGAACTGGGGGAGTTGAATGCTTGTGGAAAAAACAGAGGAACGTGGATGGACTGGAAACATGTTTAAAGGCACTGGTGATATATTTTATTCTGATGGAGCAGAGGAACTGAGTTTGAATCTGGGTTTCTGTATTTTATTACAAAAAACAGAGAAGGATGAATCAAAAACACACAGAAAGGTTGGAGAGAGAACAGACTGAGAACAGGCCCGGGAGAAGGACCTGGTGCTGTGGTTGAGAGCTGGACCTGCCCCAGCCCTAAACCCCCTGCCCTGGGCTGATCCCCAACGTGGGCAGCAGGGCAGGGGGGATTCTGCCCCTGTGCTCAGGGGACACCCCACCTGCAGAGCTGCCCCAGCCCTGGGCCCCAGCTCCTGTTGGAATGGGTCCAGAGGAGGCCATGGCGCAGCTCCAGGGGCTGGAGCCCCTCTGCTCTGGAGCCAGGCTGGGAGAGCTGGGGGTGCTCACCTGGAGAGGAGAAGGCTCCAGGGAGAGCTCAGAGCCCCTTGCAGGGCCTGAAGGGGCTCCAGGAGAGCTGGAGAGGGGCTGGGGACAAGGATGGAGGGACAGGACACAGGGAATGGCTTCCCCCTGCCAGAGGGCAGGGCTGGATGGGATACTGGGAATTAGGAATTGTTCCCTGGGAGGGTGGGCAGGCCCTGGCACAGGGTGCCCAGAGCAGCTGTGGCTGCCCCTGGATCCCTGGCAGTGCCCAAGGCCAGGCTGGACAGGGCTTGGAGCAGCCTGGGACAGTGGGAGGTGTCCCTGCCATGGCAGGGGTGGAATGGGATGGGCTTTGAGGTCCCTTCCAACCAAACCAGTTGGGGATTCTATGAAAAATATGAGGGTGAAGGGTAACTTGTTGAGAGACAACAGAATGGAGAGCTGTGGTGGTATTTAACACCTGAGATAAAACACTCTGGAGGAAAATCACCATGGAAGTCAGGAGCAAAAAAGGGGAATAACCTCCTGCTCTCCCTCCAAAGGCATTAATGTCAAGTTGTACAAGTCATTCCCTTGTTTCTATCAGAGCACCTTCTGCCTGGTGAGGAGTCCCAGGCCTCAGCTGGGGCTCTCACTGGTGACTGCCTGGACATGGGCTGGCAGCTCTTCAAGCCCTGAGGATGTGTGGCCAGCTGTGGCTCACCTGTGCAGATGTGGCCGTGCAGAGCCAGCTGTGGCTCACCTGTGCAGATGTGGCCGTGCAGAGCCAGCTGTGGCTCACCTGTGCAGATGTGGCCGTGCACAGCCCTCTCCTGCCCTCTGCTGCCCCGCAGCGCGGCGCTCCCGGCAGCGCGGGGCCGGGCAGGGGCGGTCACACGGACGGAAATCCCACGTTAAACCAAACGGACAACTGGGTGCTCAAGCGAGGGAAACATTCCTCCTGGATCATGTTAAAAAACCTCTGGAAGCCAGCGGCAAACGCTCGCAGCGCTCAGAACCGGAGGTGCTGGTCTGTCACTGTCCCAGCACAGCCCTCCCGGTACCGGGGCTCTCGGGTACCCCCCTCTACCCTCTGTCCCTCCACTTGGATCTCCCTCGTTGGCACGGAGGCACTAAATCCAACAGATGAGGCTGTTACACTTCTTCGAGCAGGATCCTTTCTACCTCAGACTTGGGAATTGTCAACGAAAAACATCACTGAGCTCTCTCTGTGTCCTCCTGGCTGTGCCAAGCCACAGCAGAGAACAGACTCAACCATGCCAACTCTGGGACAGGGCTGTTCCCTCACCTCTGAGATCTGTTTTGACTGGAACATGCATTTGTAAAGTCGATCTCACAGGGTCTCCAAAGACTATTAAGTAATTAGCTTGGAAAAACTGCAGGCTCGTTAAGCTAGAGCACACTGACCCAGGTGTGAGGAAAGACTCTATAAACCTCAATTTCCTCAATCACACACCACTTCTGCCCAGCTTCTTCCTCCCCCAATAAGGGTAATTAAATGAAATCCACACACAGTTTATTGGGACACCTTTGGGACTTGGCGGAAAATATCGCACTTCCCATGCCCTGTTTGGGAGTTAACAGGAATACTGAAATACAGCTCTGGAAAAGAACAGGAGGACTAATCTAAGGGAATTGCTTTATGTTTGGTTTTGGGTTTTTTTTTCCCCTGATGTGTGAGATCTTTTTTTAATTGGGCCACCTCCTATCTGGCTCTGAAATTTAGGGCTGGCAGTTCCCAGGAGTGTTCTCAGTTGCTGACGGACGCCTCAGCTGTGTCTGGCAGTCAGTGTGATTTACTGCGAGTGGGCAAGAGTGAGCTCAAGCAGTCAAATCTCCAAGTCGATTTGGAACTGCAAGTACCGAGTCACACACAAGTTTGCCTTCTCATACCCAGAAACCCCATCCTCCTCCAGCCCTTCAAAGCCACTTCCCTCCCTGCTGCTGCTCTCAGGCTCTCACAGCGGGTGGGAGTCACAGGGAGGAGGAGACCGAAAGCAGCCACAGCATCAGACAAGCCCAGGTGAGGTGACAAGTGTGAGCTCTGCCTCACCACCAGCGTTTGGGGGAACTGCTCAGAACGAGAAATGAGGGCTTCTTTTATCTGTACACTTTGCCCAGCCTGCTTTCTTTTTGTGTGCTTTTCCCTCCCAGTCAGACTTGCTTTTACTAAAGAATGGAGAAAGAACACCCAGAAATTCAGCAAAAGAGAGGGGAGAGATGGGGAGACAAAGAAAGCCACATTACTCCAGCTGCTAGCATTTCCCAATTCAGTTCCAGCACACCCAGCACTAAAGCAGCAATTCCTCTGCAGGTATTCATCCCCTTCCAAAGCACTTCAAAGGAGACTGACAGCCATGGTTTAGCAATGTGTGAATTCCTGCTCATGGTATGATGTAAAAAATAAACACCTACTGTCCAGTATGGGACTGTGGGAGTCACCCAGCACTGGCTTTAGCTGAAGTTCAAACTAGGTGCCCACATCCCCTCTCACACCAGCAGAGGTGGGCAGCCCTCTTGAGCAAGGACTTGCCCTGCACTGCAGACACTGCAGTTTGCATGGGAGAAAGGGCTGGAAGGACTTTTATCTGGAAGGACATTTGTCTGGAAGGAATAGGGTCTGTATTTATCCCGAGGACTCTCCTCACCAGTGAATGGAGGACCAGAAAGATCTGGCCATTATCAGCAGCTACAACATCTGGAAAGCATCATCAGGTTGAAGCACGCTGCATCCCATGGAGTGCACCTGAGCCCAAAACATGCTCCTCTTTAAAATTTTTCTTTTTTTATTATTATTATTTATCAGGATTTTGTATGTGAATAGTTACATCATTTCACCTCTACCATTATATCATGCCCTTGGTGGAGCTTTCATAAGGAAAGAGGAACAACTCTTTTTTCTTTATAGATCATCAAAGACAACACAGCCAGCTGAATGCTCAACACTGTCAAGGAGGGAAAACTACTGAAAACTAATGAATTCCTGGGAAGCTTTTAATTTCTAAATAAATCATTCCCATATGTCTCAGCTTTCACAAGAACATGCTGGGTTTAATTACATCCACTTCTCTTCCAGTGAGCATTTGAAAGGTTTATCTTGTTAACTTTTGAACACCAGTCTGAAGATAGGAAGATTAATATGCAATAATGTTGCTGACAGGTGTTACAAGCCCACAATTTGTGGTTAGAAAACCCTTTTCAGTCCAAGAAAAGAGAATTGCATACCTTGGGTTGATGATGGGAACCTCTGCAGGGTAAAAGCTAATGGTGCACCTAAAAGGGTCTGGTGCAAGGCCCCAAAGAGAAGAAAAAATCAACAGTCCCCACTAAGAACCAAAGAAAAGCAGATTTTGTTAGAGACCTGCTGGTGAAGCTGCTGGTGAAGTGATGGAAAATGTGCTACTTCTCTTGCAAGGTTGCAAGAGCCTTAAAATTTCCCCCACCAACCCCAGTTTATGTAAAGAATACAAAGGGTTGTGAGGCTCCTGCGTCCCAAGGGTTATCTCCTCCCAGCTGATGCACCCACAGCTGAAGAAAACAGATCCCCAGTGAATAATGACTTGCCTCTTATGTGAGAGGAATGGAGTCATAACTCAGAGCTGACCATGGTGTGTTTATGCAGAACCATGCTGAGGTCAGGACTTATTTCATATCATGGCAGAAGCAGTCTATTAGTCACCAGCACTTCATTCTTTGACAGCACAAAGTGATAATTCCCATAACTCACCAGCTCTGTTTTTTCAATGTCATTAATTAAACCCTGAAATTCCCCAGGATAAATGACAGCAAAGATTCCTTGATGAACATGGAAGAAGACAAATTGACTTTTTTCTTTATTACTGAGATAACTCCACAATATGTTGTGATATCCCATACCTGAGTCAACGTTGAATCTCTCCAGGAGCCTGAAGACCAGCTTACTGAGCATTCTGCGGTTAAATTTTTCAGGTTTGTACTTGGACAGGCCTTGATATGGTCTGTAACAACACCAGAGAGACACATCTGTGGCATCATCTAAAGGATGTTTCCCAAATAGCAGACATTTAACAGCAGAGGGATTGGGGTTTGCGGGATGTTGAGAAGGACAGGTTCCTGCCTTTCCCAAGATACGGTGAAAAGCCAACAGCACAACCACACAAATTTCAGTCAACCACTTGAAGCAAGTCCAGAGGCGCATTTTAAAGAAAGTGAGCAACTCCTTTTCATCTCTTTTTCAGAGCTGACAGCAACTATTGCAGCTACACTGTGACTCTGACTGGCTGCTGGCTCTGGCTGCTGCTGGCTCTGAGTGACAGGAGTTATTTGAGTGAGAGGCAATTCAAAAGTGAAAACATACACCATGAGTTGATGAGCACAGGAAGGTTAACCACTTGCATCTCTTGTTTTTCTGCCACTTCATCACAGTGTTATCTACCTGCCAAACCTGTACGACCGATACTGAAAATCACCCTTGTCTGCAGCAAAGCACAAGAGGCTGATTGCTCCAACCTCCTCAGGAAGCTTTGATACTGCTCTGCTGCTGGGGTGTCCTGCACAGGTTTCATCCTGGCAGGAATGGAGCATCTGTCACTAGCAAGGATTCCTCTGTCCTCCAGCCTGGGCCATTGGAGAAGGCTCTGACATAGCCACCAGACTTTTCCCTTTTTCAGCCAAGAAGTCAATATATTGCACTCTCTTACAGTGGGACACGATCACAGACAGACAGCCAGGGGACAGACACACTGCTCTAACCACAGACAGCCAGGGGACAGACACACTCTACTCTGGCATCACCTTGGCCCCAGCTGTTCAGAAAGACAAGTGTTTCTACCTTGTGATGTCTCTGATATCGAAGCTGGGCTCACACCATGTGTCCAGGGTCTGCAAGAGCTTCCTCTGGAGCTCGGGATATTCTGCCACGTATTCTTCCACCAAGTTAGTTTTATCCTGGAGCAGTAGTGGGGTACACATCTAGGAGAAGGAATCCTGTTAAAGCACCGTGCCCTGCCTTTGGTCCCCACGGAGCACGAGAGCGAGCCCCAGCCCTGCCCAAGCCACCAGTGTGCCTGCAGGAGTGCTGTGACATTCGTAACACAAGCATGAGCAAAGCTTCAGTGCAGCAGAGTACTGATCTCTTCCTCAATGATGAGAACAGCCAGGAGTGGCTGCAGCCAGAAAAACCAGGTAGAAGTGTAGTGGGGGCTAATAAAACACTCTGTGCCTAACCTTGATGTAAAAGTACATCAACAACACAACAGGGACTTCTTGGGAATGGAGTAAAGCCTCAGGTGAAAGGCAGCAGGAATTGGAGGGCCCTGGTGGATCTCCTGCTAACAAAAGGTGGATCTGATGACAGAGGAGCCTGCAGAGGAAATGACTCACCTTCTCTACATCTTGATCTGGCTGTAATTTCAGCTTAATACTCAGTATGGCTGCCTAGAAAACATGAAAAAAAGTTGTGTTTTTAGAAGAACACTACAGTGGATAAGTGGGCATTATTCCAAAGTGAAATAAAAATGTTGTTATACACATTTTTAATGTATTAATTATTTCTCTTATGTTGTCAAGCACAAATCCTGCAAATATTTGGCCACACTCATTCCACAAAAGTATAACAATGCTCCTAGCAGAGCTGCATATCCTGAGTAGCAACAGCCCCTGGAGCAAAAATTAAAGATCAAGTTGTTGGGCAGAAAGCAAGCGAAGCACTTGGACAAAACCAGCTGGGATGGATATTTCCTATCAATGTCATGGTAAAAACACCTGGCCCACCACACCTTTCTGAGTGACCCTTATCAGTCTCGCTCTGCCTTTGAAGTTTTGTAAAACAACTGCATTTTGTGAAAGCAACTCAAGATTTTAAACACCCTGAAATCAAAAGGCTACAGTTTCTCTAATTCCTGAGTCACTCCACAGCCCTGAAAGTGCCAGGATCACCACAGGCAGTGAGATGGGAAGAATTGTATTTTTCCCTTTCATGGGATCTCCGAATCCGCAAGAACGTGCAAGACCTGCCACGTTCACAAACTGCCTCCAAATCAGGATCTTCTAGAACCCGCTGGGGTGAACTGCAGGAACTCAAGCTCAGAAGAGCTGGTTCAGCCACTGCTTGTCCCATCCCAGCTGGGGACCACAGGAATGGAAGAAGCTCTAACTGTGCACTGCTTGCGAGGCACAGGCACGGATTAGGATTTACAGGAGGTGAGAGTGTCTCATTTCTGTAGTGTGTGAGAACACTTGGATCCCAAATACAGAATAAGCACTTAATGGGTGGCTTTAATATAGTGCCTTGTGCCAGTAACTGGGGCAATCAGGGCAAGGAGCCTTAAAGCTCATCCCTGCTCACAGCAGCAGCAGTGGATTATGCTCCTTTCTGGGGAATTCGAATTGTGCCTGTATTTCACCCACTGCATCACAGACTGAGTCTGCAAAAGCAGAGAACCAACGCATGCCATGGAAGTTCAGCTGCTCTATCCTACTGCCCCACTTAACAGTGGGAAAACCAGGTTTTTCTGTTTGTTTTGCTTTGGATTTGGTTTTGGGGAAGTTTGGGCGGTTTGTTTTTTCTTTAACACTGCTTCATTGGAAGTCCAGGCTTTATCTTCAAAAGAGAAATCAAGAGAAGAATTTTAAGTGACAAAAAGAGGAATCATCATTAATGCAGAGACTGAACAGAAATACACAGGAGCATTGCTTAGCCCAGCTAAACCTCAACCAAACATCTCCAACTCCAGACTTTGTAACTATTCCACAAGTCACAGGCAAAGAGCTGCTTCTTTCCTCTCACATTATCAGTTTAACAACACAGTGTTCAAGCTGAGTGATTATTCTTGGGCTGAAGATTGCTATTTCTCTTGTGGATGTGAAAAAGGGGTTTGGGTCTCCAAAGCTTTGGCAGCTGGTTTTGCTTTCCTCCCAGCTCCTCAAGACTGCTGAATCAAAAGAAAACATAAAAAAAAAAGAAAAAAAAATTAAAAAAATTAAAAAAAAAAAAATTGCAACTCTCCAGGCCTTGTTTCATCATTTGATCTCATTAGTACCTCCTATTGTAGTCTTAGTTTTAACTGCAACATCCAACAGCTCCCTAATGGCTTTTTAATGTTCAGATTAACCTAATTGCAGCACTGTTATCTACATGGCAGAGGTTTATCTCCAGCTCTACTAACTGTACAGGTGACTTAATCAGATGAACATGTGTGGTGTCAGGTTGGGTTTTCCTCTTTCTCTGGTTGGATATTCCACCCTGTCCCCAAGGGTGTAGAACAACAGATGTTCATTTGTCCAGAGTGTGGGGAGCCCTCCCTTCCCTGCCCAGGCTTGGCAGACACAGCTCCCCCACAGCAGGCCTGGAGGACAGAGGAGCTCCAATCACACAGAGATTCATGGAGTCCTCACAGTTGGACAAGACCTCTAAGATCACCAAATCCAACCATCAACCCAGCACCACCACAGCGTTCACTGCCAAACCATATCCCTGGGTGCCACATCCACATGTTGTTTTGAACATCTCCAGGGATGATGACTCCATTGCTCTGGGCAGCCTGGCCCATAAGCTGTTTTTTAACAGCAATTTAACATCCTCCAGCTGAAGCAGGTAACGGAGCAGGCAGAGTGATGGTGCTGCTGGCAGAGCCTCCTGGCAGCAGGGAACACTCTGGGAGCAGGGCAGCTGCCTGGTCCATGCCTGAAGCTACACATGGAAGGAGAAGCATGAGCTGGGCCCCAGAAACAGGCACCAGGCTGGATGAGGGTGCAGCTCCAGGGGCTGGGCTGAGCGGGAGGCCAGCAGAGATAACATCAGCCTGTTTACAATGGGAATAGTAAGAGAAGAGATATGACTAACTGTAATAAAGATGAAAGTGCTTGGCAGCTTTGTCTGTGGTCTCAACTCCGAGCTATTTTAAGATTTTGTTTTGTTATTATCGTGTTTTGAATTGTTTCATTCCACAAACAAGTTTTGTGTAAAATGACCCTATTTTTAACAGTCTGTTTACAGCCGATAAGATCTCCAGCAAAGCAACACCTCATTCGGAGGCTCATGTTGACTCGGAAAACAAACACTTTAATGAGGCCGAGCAGGCTGTAACTGAACGGGTGAGAAACCCCCTCCCCACCCAGTGCCAGCCTTGCCCATCTGCAGTGCTGGGCTGGAAGGCGAGGCAGGGAAGCTGGAATCTGACAATCCCGTTCATCCAGCTGCAGGTCCTCGGGCTGGATCAGCAGGGCTGCCCAGATCCTGAACAGCAGGTACCCCACGGCTTCACCAGCTGGTCAGTAAGAGCCAAAACCCGAGGCAGGATGCAGAAACATGTGCAAGCTCTGGGGAATGCTGAGATATTGACACCTATCAGGGTCTACTCACTCCCTCAAACCCCAAGAGAGTATTATTGTCACGGCGGGTAGTACAAGGAGCCTTTGCACAAAAATATGTTTCATCTGCGGAGAGTGTCTAGCATAATCTAATAACAGCAATAATTATCATTATTGTAGCACATAACAGTGTTCAACACGTACTAAACCCCCAGAGATGACAACAAACTGGCGGGAGGCTGATCCCTCTCTTGCCTTGAACCCCCAGGTGTGCCCGGGAGCAGGATGTGATGAATGCACTGCATGCACTGCTTAGTGCAGGAGAAAAGCTGATGGCCGTTGCCTGATGCAACTCCCCTCCAAGCTCCTGAGTCTCCTCATTCTTGGGGAGCTTTGGGCCATTGTTTGACTTAATGAAAGTGAATGCAAAAATACTATCTGGACATTTGGTAGTAGTTTTGTATCCCAAGGGTAAATCCCTAAAATACAGCAGAGGGCTGGTTGAGTCTGGGGCAGAATTGAAAGCTGAGCAACATTACACTGAATTCCACCTAACCCACGTGCACTGACCAAAGGATGAGGGAAGTTTCCCAAACCTGACATGTTCAGGCCCAGCCACGAGCACCAGAACACTCCTGCAGTCACACGAACGCAACCACGAGCATGGGAAAGTGGGGAGTGCTCTGGAGCACAGACACCCTGCACCAATACCTGCTCCTCTCGGCTTGTTTTGAGTGCAGTTGGCTGTCTCATCGAAAAATGACTATTCTTTCCACGTACAGTACGAGGTGCAGGAAGCCACACAAGATCTTATCTGCAAGGGCATGTGCACTTGGGTGGTGTCTGCACTGACAATTTCTGCAGTTTTCCCACGGTGGGGCTCACAACAGAGGAATTGCCTTGCACAGGAGAACTGCTTGGAGTGCTGAGGCAGGACAGACACCAGTGGCTGCTGATGACTCCTGCTCTTGGCTCTGCTGCAAGCGAGCTGGGACCGCACAAACACAGAGATGGCTGTGCCTGACTGAGTGCACTATTTCTGAACACACGGTGAGGGAATTTCTGAAAACCCAAAGAATAAACAACACTTTGAAAAGTTAAAAAATAATAAAATCAACTTTGTAGAGGAGGAACCAATGTCAACTCCAAGAAAATCACAGTGATCGAAGCCTGGATAATGGCAGAAATAATTGAGTAAAAAGCACACCAGGTATTAATCATTGGGCACATCTGTTTTGTGTTTTGGAATCACTCATTTCAAACTTGAGGCTAATCAGCTTTGCTGAGCTCTCAGAGTGCATCACTGCAAGTGGATGACATCAGGTTCGATGGTTGATTGCTTCCTGCTCAAAGGGCACTCCATACACAGCTGGCTGTGGGAAGCTCTGCAGAGACCAGGGGAACATGACATTCCTCAGGTCCACACACAAGGGACCAGGGAAGAGTGAGACCATCAACACGGAGCAGTGACAGGTTGTTCCCAGCCAAAGAATTTGAGGTAGAGGGAGAGAAGTACAAGTCCAGGTTGGAATATGCACAGGTGAGGGGAAGAAGGAACTGAAGCCCAACCTCTCTGATTTGTGTCAACTCAGCAGTTTTAGGTGGGGTTTAACTGCTCGGCTCATTCTCTGAGCATTGCCCACCTCCCCAGACCCAGACTCTGCACAGCTGCATCTGCTGCACTTCCCCAGGGCTGTCCCAGAGCCCAGAAATTCTGGCAGTAGGAGCAGAAATCTGCCATCTCATTTATGACTCCCAGCAATGCTGAAGCTCCTTCCCCAGCACTCCCCAGGCACAGCCCAGGGCAGAGGTGGCTCTGGAGGCTGGGAAGGGCAGCAGTGGCCCATGGGCTGCCTCCCTCTGCTCCAGGGGCGAGCAACGTGCCACTACAGCAGCAGGGTATGTTCAGAGGAAAAAGGGGTGGATACTGAAACATCATCACCTTTATGGGAGAAACAACTGCTGCCCAATTTTCCTTAGGCTTCTTAGCCAATATGATTCTTAATTTAAAAGAAAAAAGGAAATACAAATGAACACACTTTAAAATATAGTAAGAGCTGAACATGCCTTTGTATAATTAAGGTGGTGAATGGAGATAAGAAACAATATCAGAGACATTTTCCCTG